GCAAAGGCAAAATAACTTACAAAATGATATGATTGTTGAATGAAAAAACCTAAAAGAATCAGCTGAAAGTACCTATCTAAAAAGAGACTTGCAGAAGTTCCTGGCTATCCAATTATTAAAAGAAAATAACTTTCTTACAAGCCAAGACAAATTTGTTAGAAAATAATAATGGAAAAAGCATCCCGTTTACAACAGTAACACGGAATAAACTTGGTCAGAAATAGGAACATCTATATGAGGAAAACTATAAAAGTCTACTAGATAACTTGAAAGTCTTTAAGTTATCTTTAAGTAAGTGAACTAATATAACATTTCCTGACGATAAGAATCTATTATTTAAGATGTTAACTTTTTGCAGATCAGATTTATATCAATTTTAATACATGTCCTCATAAGATTTTTTTTCAGGGGGTAGAGGAGTTCTTGACCAACATATATAAAATTCATCTGGAAGAATAGCATAAAAATAATCAAATAATCAGAGTTGATGGATAGAGAATTGCCTTGTCAGAAATTAAAATAATGCTGTGTAAGTAACATTATTAAAAGTATTATATGTGTGCTAGAAGAGATGGCAAGATTGATGGAACACAGTAGAAAGTCTAAATGCAGACCCAAGTCTGATATAACAGTTGTGTTATTGTGCATAATAGAGTATATTTCATTGTTTCTAAGATGCCATTGGTTGAAAGACACCATTTTATATATCTTTAAGAAAGGAAAAAATGATATCAATTACATAATGACAAGCAATTGATTAGGATGCATACTGATTTCATAACATTTAAATGTGAAAAAAGTACATAGTTGAAATAAGTATGAATTTATTATTTAAGGTGACAATTCAAATTATTAAAGAATGGATAACTATTTATGTTTTGCAAGAATCCAGTAGCAATTTAGGGAAAAAATTAAGTAGAATTAAAAGATTAAATGTGATAGAATGAATCTGTAAAAGTGCCAGAGGAAAATACAGGTTTGTATGTAATTTTAAAATGGAGAAGCTTCTTTTAAAAGCAAGACACTATAGTTGAAAACTTAAAAGATAACTGTTTTAGTTACTTGAGAAATGAAATCTTTTCTACAACCAAAAAACTCCCTAAGTTAAGATAATTGACAAATAACAAGTGCGAAAAAATTATTTACAAGGTAGGTGACAAGGGTATAAGGGTAAGTCTTACACATTTACAAGACAGGATGCTAATTTTGGAGCCCATGTCGTGCAGGAGAGAGGACAGGAGACCACAAGTAGGATATAAGAATTAACCCCCTGCTCTGCCAAGAGGCCAGAAGGAAAACTGTGGTTGGTAACAACATCTGATCCCTGGAATTATAGAAAAGGAAACATAAGTGTGTGTTTAGAAACTGTCTAGTCCCTTCAGCATAATTTCCAGAGATGCCTTCAGTGCCAACTAGCTCTCAGAGATGCTGTGATGACCGTGTGAAATAATGTCTGTACAAGTACTTTGTGAACTCTAATATTAACACTGATATTTTGCTATCTAACTGTACTTCTTGGTTTTCTCCTAATATATTTTTGAATGCTTTATTTTATTTTTGTATATAGTTACTGGTTTTCGTTGAGTGATTTTGTTTTATTTTTGGTTCTGCAATAACTACTTTGTTTTTATATGTAAGTGATTCTGATTTTATATGGCTTACTAGTAGATGTGGCATTTCAAAGGACCAGTTTTAAATTTCATTTTTGTACTCTTTATCCACTCTTCCAGATCTTTAATGAATAAGTTGTGAAAACCATCTGTAAACGGGCCCAAGCTTTACATTTTCTCAAAGAACCCTATTTATTTGTTATGAACCTTTTTCTTCTTCATAGCTTCCTTTTTTTTCCGACTTGGGTATTTTTGTTTGATAGAATTAAATTTTATGAAGGGTGTAAAGAGATCAACAGGATTGTCTTGAATGCTGTATATATGTGACTGCTTTCAAAGAAGGATTAAATTATATTCCTAAAGGGATAATTTGTCTTTACCCCTTTTCTTGCCCTGAGCGTAACTCTGTGTCTGCGTGTCTGTATCTATAGAGGTGGATTGTGACACAGACACACCTTAGCTGTTCTGCCCTGAGCTGTGGTTGTTACAGCCAACTCTTCCTACTTGTACACTTAACATGCCATTTTAGTACCTTTCAATTCCTGAGGTATTAGTTAATACCACTTAATATATTCATTCAATGACTGTTGGCTGAGGCCCAGATTTGAACCGCTGTCCAGGAAAGAGTTCCTTACCTCGGTCCCAGGCCCAGCAGACTGCCTGATGGCCACGTCTCAACCCCTCTGGGTTGTCTTTTCCTTCCCATACATGCAGTCAATCTTATGCAGTGATAAGAAGAAAAATCTTGGTTATGAAAAATGGCCATCAACTAGGAGAAAACTTTAGTAAAAATTGAAAGGCAGGGCTTCCCTGGTGGCGCAGTGCTTGAGAGTCCGCCTGCCGATGCAGGAGACGCGGGGTTGTGCCCCGTTTCGGGAAGATCCCACATGCCGCGGAGCGGCTGGGGCCC